CAGTTGTATGTGTACGTACTCTCAAGAGAGTTATAGGTCTTTTTGGAGGTTATGGTACGGCCCCACAGTTTCATTTGTATATTGCGGGGTATGCAGTTGTATGTGTACGTACTCTCAAGAGGGTTATAGGTCTTTTTGGAGTTTATGGTACGGCACCACAGTTTCATTTGTATATTGCGAGGTATGCAGTTGTATGGTACGACCACTCAAGAGGTTGTAGGTATTTTTGGATTATTTAAGTTGTATGTGTACGTCCTCTCAAGAGGGTTATAGATCTTTTTTGAGTATTTAAGCTGGATGTGTACGTACTCTCAAGATGGTTTAGGTCTTTTTGGAGTATTTAAATGTCAGTTACGGGTCCAAGCACGGCGGAATCTCTATACACGCACCTTAATTTTGTGTATGTTTGGTACTGTAAATACTAGGCCTATAGACCCATCATTCTGTGCGAATATCCATGCCCACTCGTGCGTGTTTGTGTGTGCTGTGATGTGCATAACACACCTGAGCACACGGAATCGTGACCTTTGCGGTCTAGGTGGTGTTCGTACATCGCGTGACGATTAGTAGCTCTTGCTAGCAGCGTGGGCCAACATTTAAATCTGCTGACAATCTCGACAGTCGTAAAAGTATGGACGTGTCAGTGTGCACATCATCATCCGCATCGAGTACATACCGACTAGTTGGTATCGAGGAACGATGTTTAAGTCCCCTCTACACGCTTTATTCTCTTATATTCTTATGTAGTATGGGAGAGAAAGTATAGTACACATACTTCATGCGATAAGGGATGTTTGGAAGTAACAAGTACGCAAATATATACGTAGGGTCTTATGGGTGCAAGTGGAGATATGCAGGCTATGCTCGAGACGGAATATTGGCGTAGATGCTTGCGGGAAGATATAGAACCATGTTGGGTCGAAATTGGGGTATGTGAGTTAGTTGGCATGATTTTCTGTAGATATAAATACGTTGTATTTATAAACATATGGATTTAATATACATGAGTATATATATATATATATGTGTGTGTGTGTGTGTGTGTGTGTGTTTATGTATATGTCTGTGTCTGTGTTTGTGTCTTGTGTCTTGTATCTGTGTGTCTGTATATATATATATGTGTGTGTGTGTGTGTGTAT